TTTGAACCCTCTTCTATATATATATATATATATATATTAGGAGGTAGACATACTTCATTCAATAACTCGTGTTTTATATCAAATCTTAACGATCTAATTGTTAAATTTACAGTTCTTAATGCATAGATCAAATTTGTAAATTTTTAAAAAATTTTGAAAATCATTTGATACTTCATTTTATTAATTTAAATTGACGAATAATCATAAAAACATATTATCTATCACTTAATAGAGTTTCTTCAAAATAGATTAAATAAAAAAGGTCAAATGAGAGAGAGATATCGAGTGCAATCTCAAAAAAATACAAAAAATGTAAATATAATTTATTCTTTTTTTTTTATTTATAGAAGTTAAATGTAAAATTTCAATTGTATAATGAGAATATACCTTTATTAAATTCTCTATATATTTTGGTATAAATTTATAACTAAAATTAATTTAAATTATTTAATTGCATAAAATATGTGTATTAATATTTGTTTGGGTGCATAAAAACTGTTATTACCGATCTCAACTCGTCTCTTCACGTAAGTCGCAAAATGTTCTTACCGATCTCAACTCGTCTCTTCACGTAAGTCGCAAAATGTTCTTACCGATCTCAACTCGTCTCTTCACGTAAGTCATCTTCCTTATAACGTCTGATCTTCTGTCTACGCGTTCCTCGGATGTACCTGCAAAAAGGACTCCGACGATCAAGTTAGTCTGTGTTCTACCTTCATTCATCTCTCTCTTATTACCTGTGATGTACGGTTACCTCATGTAACTGCTGTGTCGTCATCCGTGATAAGTTAATTGCGGTTAAGTTATTCACATACCAACGTGTCTGATGATCCCCTTAAGTCGAGGTGGGGAAGGTACCTTATACCGAGGTGCTGAGGTGGACAAGGTTCCTCATGCCGAGGTGGCCATCATTACTCTTTATAGTGACCGCGATATTATCATTATCTCGGCCCTGTATCCAGGATGGTACACAAGCCCCCCAAGCTCTAAACGATGTAAGAGTGCAAGAGATTAACAGTAAACCTAAGGTTGCAGAAGTAAAAGTAAGTGAAACGTTTGAGTTTTACAGCTGTAAATTAATAATAAGGAGGCGCGAAACGTTTGAGTTCTAACAGCTGTAAACTAATAATAAAGGGGTGTCGTTTCAAGGACATATTACAGTAGATATGAGAGCGTGTCATTAATGGCCATGACGCATATGAAACGACAGCTCCCTCGAGAAGCGGTATAGAAAATAAAGGAGAGTTTTGGGTGCCCAAGCGTCGTAATAATAATTATTTAAAGAAAGAGGCTCTATTGAAACATTACTTGTTGCCTCGAGTTTACGCCCCTTATTGAAGTGAGGTGTGAAGTTACAATGTTTGTGGGTGTTTACGCCATTCCAGGTATTTACCAAGATCTTTTGCTTTGAGTCTTCTTTTTTGTGTGTTGTGTTTTGCAATGGGTAAAAGTAGTGTGAGGAGTGCTAAAGGTAAAGATAAGGTGACTGAGGCGGAAGAAATCACGGTTCGAAAACGGGGAGGAAACAACCGTAAAGACTCTCACCCAAAGATACTAGTAACTGGTATGAATGGGTTAGAGGTGATGTTGGTCAATACTGTAGCAAATTTGAGGATGCGACAGGGGTAGGGATGTTAGAATGTAATTTGAGATTTTGTGTGCCTCCCATGTTAGGGCATGTCTTAATAGAGGCTTGTTTAGCCAAAGAACGTGTGTTCTTTGAGGGGTCAATGGTGACGCCTAGCGTGTATATGTATAACTGTGTATTCAAGGACTTAGGGGTGCTGATGCCTTTTACAACATTTGAGTGCGAATTTTTAAAGAAGGTCAACATAACACCGAGTCAATTACATCTAAATAGTTGGGGGTTTCTTCGTGCTTTTCAGGTGTTGTGTTCGGTGTTGGGAATAGAGATAAGTTTAGCTAAATTTATGCATTTTTATCAAGTGAAATTAGGAGAACCACCTTTTGGGTGGGTTTCATTGAGTGGAAGTTCAAAAGAAGGGGGATTATTCCAAATTAAGTATACTACTTGGTTGGCCAATGTTGTTATGGTTAAGAAATCTAATGGCAAATGGCATATGTGCGTTGATTATACAGATTTGAATAAAGCTTGCCCCAAAGATTCATACCCACTCCCCAGCATTGACAGGTTAGTTGATGGAGCCTCAGGATATGACATGCTCAGCTTTCTTGATGCATATTCAGGTTACAACCAAATTCTAATGTATCCCCCAGATGAGGACCATACAGCGTTTATCACTGAGCGTGCCAATTAGTGTTATCGAGTTATGCCTTTTGGACTCAAGAATGCAGGAGCAACTTACCAATGATTAATGGACAAGGTGTTCGCCAAGCAAATTGGATGTAACCTTGAGGTCTATGTTGATGATATGGTAATTAAAACCAAGTCACCTGCTGATCATGTTCAAGACATAGCGGAGATTTTTCAACAAGTCTGGCGCCACAATATGAGATTAAATTCCGAGAAGTGTGTTTTCGGCGTCCAAGGTGGAAAATTCTTGGGATTTATGATAACTTGCAGGGGAATCGAGGCGAATCCAATAAATGTCAAACTCTGATTAATATGCGCAGTCCACAAAATCACAAGGAGGTGCAAAGGTTGGCAGGTCGACTTGCCTCGTTATCTCGGTTTATTCCCAAAATGGCAGAGAAAGCCAAACCTATTTTCTCTCTACTCAAAAAGCCAAAAGATTTCCAGTGGGACGACCGATGTGAACGAGCCTTTGCCGATTTCAAGGAGTTCTTGTCTGCTCCACCCATCTTGTCTAAGCCACGCAACCAAGCTCAACTTTTATTATACCTTACTGTAGCTGATAATGCTCTTAGCGCAGCGCTTGTACAAGAGGATGGTAAAAAACAAATTCCCATTTATTTCATCAGTCGTGTTTTGCAGGATACCGAGAAAAGATATCAAACAATTGAGAAGCTGGCGTTGGCATTGGTGACCTCGGCTCGCCGACTTTGTCCTTATTTCCAGAGTCACCCAATTGTGGTCAAGACTGACTATCCCATCAAGCAAATACTCAGGAAGCTTGATCTAGCTAGTCGAATGACAGCTTGGTCAATTAAATTGTCTGAGTATGACATTAGATATGAAAGCCGAGGACCACTCAAGGCCCAATGTTCTTACCGATCTCAACTCGTCTCTTCACGTAAGTCGCCAAATGTTCTTACCGATCTCAACTCGTCTCTTCACGTAAGTCGCCAAATGTTCTTACCGATCTCAACTCGTCTCTTCACGTAAGTCGCCAAATGTTCTTACCGATCTCAACTCGTCTCTTCACGTAAGTCGTCTTCCTTATAACATCTGATCTTCTGTCTTCGCGTTCCTCGGATGTATCTGCAAAAAGGACTCTGACGATCAAGTTAGTCTGTGTTCTACCTTCATTCATCTCTCTCTTATTACCTGTGCTGTATGGTTACCTCATGTAACTGCTGTGTCGTTATCCGTGGTAAGTTAATTGTGGTTAAGTTATTCACATACCAACGTGTCTGATGATCCCCTTATGCCGAGGTGGGCAAGGTACCTTATACCGAGGTGCTGAGGTGGACAAGGTTCCTCATTCCAAGGTGGCCATCATTACTCTTTACAGTAACCGCGATATTATCATTATCTCAGCCCTGTATCCAGGATGGTACAAAAACTTAACAGTCTTATGGAGTATTGAACTCACATCGAACCAAATATGTAATTATTTGTGTCAACCAATCTAACATATTAATATCTAATTAATTGCGTTAACCAACTTAACAAGAATTTTTATATAATTCTAAAATATATTTACCTTGAAGTGAATAAGACTGTCCCGTTAGCCTAGCCAACAGGTTAACCGAAATTGTTCCTCCCTGTATTATTGAGCCCACGTGTCCCCACTGCTGACGCAATTAATATTATCCCATACAATCTAACCTTCCAGAAAAAAATAAAAATAAAAATAAAAACAGCACAAGATGCATGCCATGATTTTCAATGAAAAAGCAATCGTTGCTTGTGTGGTGGGCCCTACAAATAGCAGTGACGCCGCTGGCGCACGGCCACGTACGTACCCTAGTGTTTTGGTCAAAACCCGCCATTCAAAATCATATTTTATAGTACTTTATTCGTTGTCACTGCGTTAAAAGACAACAGGTGTCGTCGACACGTGTCCATTTCACGTGCTCCGGCGTTTATCTCCGGCCACCTCGCCGGCATTTTGGACTCACTGTCGGAATATCTCAAACCACAACTCTTGCCTCTCTCCTCAATCGTCATTGTTTCTAAAATGCACACTTCCTCTCTGTGTCCCCTACTACGTACACTCCTAAATTTTCTCTTCTCATCTTTTCTATTTTAATTTGCCAAATCTTTCTAATTCAAGATACTCCAAATCCAACTATACAAATAAAATAACTATAAAAAAAAGAAAAAAAAAGTGATCTTGAGAAGCATTCAGCCGACATAACAACGTGTATTTTTAAAACTTCTAATTGTGTGTATATAATGTAATATTAATTAAAAACATGTAGTATGAAAATTGTTTATCCTCCTGTCACTCAGTCATGGATAGTTATGAATGCTTACATCTTTTATTTTTATAAAATTGTTTTAAAAAACTATATTTGAGATTATTTTTAATTAATCGATAGTTTATTAAAATTGCGCTCTCTATGTATTTTTGTTTAATTATTAGGAAAATGCATTATTTACATAATTAAATAATAAATCGATTTGGCATTTCAACTTTATATATATGTTGATCTTTTGTCGAGCATAAGACTCATTGCTTGTGTTGAAGTGACTTACGTACGTAATTGTTTTGGATGAGGGCTTTGTTTATGTAATCCGATTAATATATGTTATAATAGATTGTTAATATTAGGAAGAAAACAGACACCCACAGTAACATAGCAATAATAGAAACTTTAAACAATAAATAATTACAAAAGGGATAAGCCCTTTTTACTTGCTTCCTAACACATGGAAAGCCTCGATGAAGAAAGTCAACTACCAATACTAATAAAAATTTAGAAAATGTTACAAGTATCAACACAGTCGATGCATTTGGTTGATCCAATTTTGTTCAATACGATTGTTTGATGATGTGAATACATTAATTAATAATTATATGAACTCATTCACACCTAACATATCTGGGATTTCAAATCTCAACAAATTGCTGCTGACATAGCTTTCTGTCTCGTCCTCAGTGCCACTGCACCCATTCGCATAAGTCGAGTTCGAGTTCAACGGTGTGGGACTCGACGAAGGCGTTGAGAGAACCGAAGGGAATGACATTGGAGGGTCCATAAGATTTGCATTATAATCAGAGGCGGGGTAATTGTAGCTTGGTAATTGAGGAACATAACTCTCTGTCTTTGTCACACTACTTAAATCAATTCCATTGCAATGCCAATCACTTATCTGAGACTGTTGTTGAAAGCCAGAGTCATGGAAAATTGAATGGTATGGGTTCATATTGGATTCAAGTTCAGCCAACTGTGATTGAGTGAAAGGCAACGAAACACAAGGGGGAATATTCATCGTGCTGCAAGCTGTTTCACATGCTTCTTGAGTCAAGTCCTGATTCTGTACCAAGTGTGGGATTTGGTTCTGAGTTTGTGGATCACAAAGCTGATTCTCTTCACCGTTTTGTGCACACATGTTGAGGTGTTCACCTTGGTGAGAGGAAAAGAGTGACGAGGCCAACTTTAGAAGCTGGGGGTTCACCAGTGTGTGTGTGCCAAATAGTCTTTGCATGTTCATTTGTGTGGAACTTGAACCATAGAAGGATGAACTTAGGATGGAAGAGAGGTCCAATAGATCAAGCCTTGGCCTATGTGTCACAGGATCAACTCCCATCCTTAGAAGCCTTTTTCTAATGTGTGTATTCCAGTAATTCTTGATTTCATTGTCTGTTCTTCCGGGCAAGCGAGAAGCAATAGCTGACCACCTACACAATCCATTAATAATATCAATTAACTATTAAGCTTCAAAACCCACTTTCATAAACAATAATAATATTTGACTCATGAAGTTTTGACCAAAAGCAACAAAGAGGCTTACTTGTTCCCAAGAATGCTATGTAGCTGTATTATAGCCTCCTCCTCTTCAAAACTGAACCGACCTCGCTTTATGTCTGGTCGGAGATAGTTTGTCCAACGAAGTCTGCAACTCTTTCCACACCTTTGCAACCCTACTCAATCAAAAAGGAAGCAAAAGCTAGCCATTCATTTTAGTTCAAATACAAGCAACAACAAAAGTTATTATTCCAAGATTTAACTTTGTGTGCATGCTAGCTACCTCAACTCTCACTACCATTGATGTTAATTTTTTGTGCTAAAATGAAGATGATTAAATTTATGACGTCATACCAGCATTCTTTGGGAGTATTCTCCAATTGCCGTAGCCATGTTTCTGAATGTAATCGATGAGTTTATGGTCTTCCTCTGGTGTCCAGGGTCCTTTCTTGAGGCCATTTTTGTCACAACAAGGTGATCTCCCCATGCTAGTTAGCGTGGATACGTGAGAAAATAAAGAAAGGGAGAGAAATGTGGTTATGATTAATTTGTATGAGACTCTGGGACGTACGTACTATAAATAGCAATTAAGGAGAAGCAGGGTAAGAAAAAGGTTAAGTCAATTGAATTTGGCGCCGGCCTCTCTTATCTCTTCTGCTACGTGTCCCTTCTTCATATCATCTAATAAATTTTCTTACGTGTTTCTCTATTTCTCTCTTTCTATCTTGCATTGCAAATTATACAACGTAGCGTGAATTAATTAATATTACCCAAGAAAATCAAATCTTTACTTTTCATCACAATTGAAGTTTGTTTGTACGTTGTGCGCTTCATATTTAACTTGGCATTTACTTTTAACGTTATCAGAGTCAAATTGTAACCATCGTTTTCCGGAGAATGTGACCCCAGGCCTTCTGGATTCATATTAGCTGTAATCAACACATCACAGGCCACGTAACCCCAAGAACACATGTCTTTCTTTCCAATATTCCATATTACACAGGAAATGTTCTTATTTACTTGTGATAACACTTAATTATAATAAAAATAATAATAATTTGTAAACCGTATAATTAGATTAAATTAAAAATATTTTTTAATAATTCTCAATCATATTTCATACCTTTCTTGCTAAAAATCATAATCTAATTATCTTAAAAAAGGTGATAATATATTAATTTTCTACGTTATCAGAATTGTTGGTTAGTAATGTTTTATACTATTAGTAAACATTATACTGTTTATACTAGTGGTTTAAATTTTGTTTAATAAATGTTACACTAATAGAGATAAACTTGATTTTTAAACGTTATCATATGACCTTTTTTAGTGATAAAATCTATAACTATGAAATTAAATAATTATTCGGCTTTGAGATGAAATTTTAGTTTTTTAAAATTATTTTCGTTAACACTTTAAGAAATTACAGTATTTTCATTCGGTTTATGTTCTTGAAATTCTGTATAAAGAGTGACAAAATTTATGCTTCTGATTTCCCTTTAATTTTCAAAAATTAAATAATTTTTTAAATATAAAAACACAAACCTTCATTTAAAAAAACACAAACCTTAAAAAAAAAAAAAAAACATAACACTAATCACTTTTCTTCCTTCTGACAAAATCACCTTACTATGATGAATGCAAAAAGAATATGTAGAAGTCATCCCAATTAATTTGCTTGTCGAGTTCATGTCATAACATTTGTGTCTATTATTATGTAGCATATGACCTATTTTTACTGTATGTTTATAGCAGATATTATAGAATAAAATCATATGGTTCACTCATTTTTATTCTATGAATTTAGATCGAATAGCTAGGCTTGATCGATCAGACGTGATAGGATCATTTGTTTTTGTCGAAGTTAAATGAAAATTCAATAGCTCGCCTCATTAGGGAAATGAGCAGTAATACAAATACATATTTATAGAAAATATTGACAGATGATTCAAATATATAACACTAACAAATTAAGGTACACAAATGATACCTATACCATCAGATAATTCATGTATAGAGTAAATCTTTAGATTATATGTAGAGAGTAAACATAAATTATACACAGACTATACATTTGAATTATAATACTCAACATCAATTACACCAATCTAGCAGCACCACCCACCCTACAATGTAGCAACGAACTTTAATTTTATTTTTTAAGAGAGCATGTTAAACCACCTAATTAACTATTCATGTATGATGTTACGAAAAATGAAGTTAGCTTGATCATGTTTACATGACCCATTGCATATGTGAGAGGTTTTATGCTTTTTAATATGGGGAATTTTCGATACCAATGGATCACCTGTGTCTTATTCAGTGGGCAGTGATTTTAAGTATTAGATTGAAACTGAAGATGAAATTTAATCGAAACTACACTAACTAGACATGTTTTATGGGTATCAAAGAATCGCTTATAGATGCATACAATTAATTTGCCTTGGACAAAAGCTAAGAATCACATCAATATAATTCACATAGAATCTCCATAAATAAATTCAAAGACAATAGAATCATATCAATGCTATTAATGATACGAGATATGCCAGTTGCAATTGTAAAGCAACTTGTATAATTAACTTACATAATATCAATCATGGTTGTCGCCACCGGCCCGAAACGGGCTTTCGGCATTCGCGAAGGATGGTTGGACTCGTTTGTTTTAAAATATGGATTGCTAGAATGACTTATTCTCAAACTGAGACCTCGTCAAACGAGCAATTTTATTAAAAGGCTCACTAATCCATATTAATCCCAAGCGGGACCCTCCATGGATTAGTGGTTTTCATAAGAGGAGGGTTCGTGGAGTCGCCACCAATGTTTTACTCAAAACATTGGAAAAAGGGATAAGGCAATTGATTTAAAAATCAACTTTGGCCACTACAACCAGAGTTGGGTAAGGGAGTCGGTTACGCGTGGGGAAGGTGTTAGCACCCCACAGCGCCCCTTTCGGGTTCCCTATGACAGATTATTTTC